CATATAGCACCATTAAAACAGCTGTACGTTACGAGTTACAATTAGTGTGAAATACCCTGTAATTTATTTCAAAGGTGGCTGCTGGAAGCACCACCCAAAGGAATAAAACGTCTCTCAAGAATAAATTGTAAGAATCAGTTTTGGGTTCTGAAATGCAGCGTAAGTTTTCAAGTATTTTTTGTCTTACTCTAATATTCACAGGATCTGACAGAAACTAATTGCCAGCAACTACATTTCTCTGCTTATTTGTACACCTGTCCTTGGAGGTATTTTCTCTGGTATTTAAATCCAAGAGAAAAAAGTTATGCCTCTGCCGTTAATCCCCATACTGCCAGGAAAAGGACATTTTATACCTCCCACTATTACAAGTAAGGGATCAGGCTGCATCTACCTACTGCACATTCCAGCTGCAGTTTATATAGTTATACTTTTTATTTGCTCCTATTCAAAAGTGTTTACCGCTTTTTATTTGGAATTGTTCAACATACTTTTTGATCTCCAAAACTTCTACAGTTCATTACTTGACTGACTGAACACCATTAGGAACAGTATTTATGTCCCTCCAACATGTGCTTTTGCTTATGCCCTATTAACAGAAATGGCACAAGGATCTGAGCATATACAGCAGTTAACAAGTAGTCACTGAAAATTCAATATAAAAAATGAGAATACTTAAATCCACACAGCACGGGAATTGTTTTTACTTTCTCAGTTGTGATTCTGCACAAGGAGACTGCAGGACTTGATGCACTTTTATTGCTGGAAATCATACACCTGCAGAAATTAACTATTGCATGTATTTCTCAAGTATCCTATTAAAAATTTGGAGGAGTTTAGGCTTTAACCACAAAAACTTTATGTATAAATGATGAAGCACTCTGCTATTACTCAGAAGACAGGTATAGCAAATCAAGCAATCATTTGACATGACAGCTAACTCCAAGAGACACCAGCTGAAGTGCTCAATCACCTACTGGCACATCATCTCCTACTGGGGTGCAGCTCACAAGGTTTCTTTTTTGCTTTATTGAGGAAAATCTTCAAGTCAGATCAATGGAATTATCAAGCTGCAGCTTTAGACACTTTGAACCATATACAAGGCCTACAAATTACTGTACTTTTATATCTTGTAACTACAAATAAAATCGTGAGCTAGTTAGCTGAAGGTGGGATCCAAGGTGTCTACATGACCTGACTCATGGCAAACAACTACGCTGTGTCTCTTTGGTCTGTTAGCCTGGCCAGCATAATGATAGAACTTCAACATCATCATGCGTACTTACACCGCCTGCTCCAGATGAAATAACTTTCACCCCTTTTACTAAGTCACCTCTTTGTTAAGTCTCTGTTCACCTAAGATTCTGATGTTCATAGAGGGCTCTAAAGAGAAAACCTGGATGTGCAGCTGTACTGCAAGTTTTGCAACTACATGACTCAATGTAGTCGTGAATCAATGTATCAGTGTAGCTGTCCCTCAGTCCTATAACCTGTAAAGTGAGCTTGATCATTCAGTATGCAGATCTTTGATGAGAAACTGCTGCATGCACAGCAATTCTCAAAAAAAAGCTTGAGAACAATTGTATCAAACATCATGCAGTTAAACACCATCTTCAGTCTAAAAACAGGCAGTAAAACACAAGTAAAATGAGGATGCCACATACAAAAAATCATGTCATACACAGAAAACACCCACAACTACTAAATGGCATGAGCCCTGCTGAAGGTAAAAGCAAACTCCAAACAATGCAGTGAAGAGCTGTGGGGCATTAAACCACACAGCACAGAAGGGACTCTTGGAAGAATCAGTCTGATCCACTTTTGGTGGGACATGCATATGCTATAAATAAAATACAAAATATTGACATATTTCTCTGCAAGGAAGACAAATAAATTTGGGGGCTTTTTCAATTTATGATATTTACAAGAGAAAGCCAAAGTACTGGCTAGGACCTGGATTAGGAATATTACTGCACAGTTTTAGGTGGAGATCTTTTTACTTTCTTTGAGGTTTCCCATTAGGAGCTCTTTAGGATTATAGTTCTGTTACCAAACAGAGTTCAAGGGAAACATCTTTATCTGCTTTAAATCAAACATTGATTTTTGTAATTGGAACACATTAACTCAAAACTTTTTTAAGGTTAGGCCCTCAGTGCAATTACATTTAAATGCTACATTGTGTCAGTCTAATTGATATAAACACACACTATATAAATAACTTGCATATGGAATCATTCCATGAGAAGATACAGAGCAAGGATTCCAAAACTCCTGTGCTTTTAAAAAAAAATTATGTTAATCATCTACTTTTAATAAAGAAATATATGATGGAGCAAAGACATATAGCTAGTACTTTGCCACCATCTATAATCTGCATAGTCAACAGAAAATGTTGCTGAATGTGGCTACTGGTAGGCATTTAGAGCCTAACAATTTAGTCATTTAGAGACGATTACATTGAGGGAATGCAGAGGAATTATTTTTTGAAAATTCCTAGATTGCTGTCAAAGTTTGATGAGGAACCATGTTTTTTCTCCCAAAGTTTAATTCTTCTCATTACATTCTCATTGATCCCTTCTCATACAAGGAATTAAATCTCACCTGAAATTTCACCTGTGTATCTAGCAGCAAGTATCCCAAGGACTGATCCCTAGCACAGGGGTCAGCTTGAACAGAACAAAACTCATCAGTGTTATTTACCTCCTGAAGCCCATAACAGGCTGATCACATCTAAAGTGCCCATCAGAAATGCTACCTTGCCAATTCCTGAATTGAGCACAGGCCAAAATCTGTGCCAGCACGTGTTTTAACACCCAACTGTACAGATGAGTGAGCTACAGCGTCCCAGAAAATTTCCTGGCACTACCAAGTCTAGTGACACATATGTGGTGTGACAGGCTTAACATTAAGCCTTTAACATACTCATTTTGGTCTCAGTCAAAAATGTGATTTAACCTTTTTTAACCACCTATTTTAGGATGGAACAATCTCTAAATGAGCTTTTTTTACTCTAATTCTGACTAAAAGATGCACCTGACATCTCACAGTGTTATTGCTATTAAAGCAAGAGCAAAGTGTGGGTTTTTATGACATTTAGCTTTGGAAGTATATTAATTATAGTACTAACAAAGATGAAGTGTGGTCTTTGCAAATAAGAAACCTATTTTACATGTTTTCTTGATGATCCAATCCAAAACAAGGTTGAAAACCTCTTATTTTTAAATGCACATTGAATTTTATACAAGCTTGTAATTGTCACAGTCTTCATGAAAAACTCAAGTTAAAGGAATTTTTGCTCACCCTTTTTTTTATGACTCTCAAGATAAAGACATTGTAGTATGATAATGTCTTGAATAACCTTTGAATAATATCCCTAAAGAGTAACTGAGACTTCAGGGTAGTCAAGAACAACGTGAACCAAAAAGCTGTGCAAACAGGCAGAATTTGATTTGCAAAATGAGCATGAACAGCAATAATTGGTAAACAGAAGCTGCTTTGGCATTGGAAGGAGTTTGAAGAAAAAATGTGTAGATCTCCAACCCCCTCACTGTGAATTTACTGTGTATCAGTACATTCAAGTTTAAGTTGTGGGGATAATTAGCACAGACACATCTTCTGTTAAGATCTTAGCAGTAACTTTCCTGGACTTTAAAGTCCTGGAAATTATGACATTTATTCAGTATGCCCATAGGTGGCACAACTGTGTATTTCATCACTTCACTCTTGACGTAACTTTTGTTTCATTTAGCTTCTTCAGGTTTCTGCATGCATTTAAGTTTAGCTCAAGCTACAAATGGCAAATCTATTACTAAAGCTAGTCTCTAAACCACTATAAAAATTAATAAAAATAGTGCCTCACAGTCTGAAGGGTTTACACCTGGTGATTATTAACTTGAAACAGGGTAACTGAATTTTGCATAGCATTATTTTTTAGTATCAGGATGTTGTGAAGTACTAGGTCTTTCATAAAAACAGTGTAGTAACTTCCCCTTCCAATACTTATTTCCCAGCCTTTAAAAATTATTTATTGATTTTTTCAATTTGTCTTTTCTGTTAATTCAACTACATTAAGTGAATTAAATTACATTACAAATATTGGCAGTTCAATATAGTAGCAGTATCAGTACAGTAGCATTTTGGCTGAACACAATATCTCTGAGTAAATCAAGACTTCTATTTTTTTGTTTTGTACAACTCTCACTGGTCTGTCCAAGAGTCAGTCCTTACTTTCATACCCTTTCCCCCCCACTAGCAAATGAAGTCACTTATACGATACCAAAAGCAGAGAACACAGCTCAAATTCTACTTGGGCTTCTAATGGAAATATTCTTTTCAAAGAGAAAAGTATATCAGGACAATCTATGATTTTAGAAGGTATAACTGTCCCTTTCTAAAACAAGATATTTAACATGTCTCTAGCAAATTCTACAAGCAATGTACTGGGATTCACTTATTTGTTCACTTAACACATTACCTACTTGATGATTGCAGTCTAGTCTGTTACTTAATAATAAGAGCAAGGAAAATTTTCTGCCACCTAAAATCACTCTTCAACTCCAGACAGAAAGAGTCCATGGCCCTTAAAGAGCTACCAAGGTAAGTACTGACTACCTCCCTGATGCAAGGTACAAAACCAAAGGAAAAGTGGCAAAAAGGAGGACTCTCTCTGAAAAGAAGGTACAGAAGTTATATGGGGGAATTAGCAGAACTGGAGTTGGCAGTCACTAAAAGGAACAGAATAAAGGCAGCTGCTTAGGAGCACTGAGGAAATAGAAAGCAAGGGCTGGATCAGTAAGTACTCACTGTACAATTCTAAACTAGGGGCCAAGAAAAAATTACTTGGGGGTGGAAAAAATTAAGAGCAGAAAAATGCTGAAGCAAACAGTAAAAAAGAACAAGCTGTATTTTAGATAAATTAATAATTCAAAGCTTCATGATTCGTTTATCCAGGTCCAAAAATGCACATGGTAAAGACAGAAAGAAATCCAGACCATTACTATGGGTTTTACGTTATTGGATTACCATATTTTGAGGAATTGAGGCAAACGGAGTTTTTTTATTCAACTTCAGAGGATAAAAATTATTTAGAGATTCAGCATAAATGACAACCTTCTATAATTAGTCAGCAGATACAATGTCCTGTAGTTCTTCTTCAAGATCTTAATACATTTTTATTTTTTAAAACAAAAACACAACACTCCCAATACACGCACAATCAACCTTCTTGCATCACTTCTGAAGAACACATTTGCAGTTTATCAGCAGTTTCATTTGTTAAGATCAAGTGAGGTAAAAGGCACCAACAGAACATTCTTTAAAGAGAACCAGACTAGTAGCTTATCTTAGGTAAACATACTGTCACACGGGAGAACAAACTACTTGTATCTGTAAGGCTGGCATGTGGACATACTATGAAAAAGATCGAAAAAGAGCCCTAGATAAAACTATGCAAATACCTTTATCCTTGTGCACCCTCTAGTAGCTGTCAGGTTGTGCTGGCCTGACAGCGACTAAGCAGGTAATTTCCTCAGCCAGGCAGAATCAGTGGCCCCTCTGCAACAGCTCTTTTAAAGAGATGGAGATCCATGAGATAAGGGTTCTGAGCAGGCAAAAGTATGGATTATTTGAAGTTTAAAGTTTACAACAAATTCTGCCTTGTTAGTTTAATGAAATGAATCCAAGTTTTCCACTTAAAAAGTGCCAAGATACATCAAGCTATCTACATAGCAAGCATTCAAAGTACGTGCCTGTGTAACTGTGACATATGTAAAAGCTGCACGCAAACTGTGGCAATGTCAGTAAATTAAGCTGGGTATTACTCTTCCAGAAGTCCTCCAAGGTGGAAAAAAATCCAATTCACAGGTTGCAGAGACTACATAAGAGCCACTTATGTATGAAATAGCAGTTTCAAACTATTGTAAAAACATGATTTAAACTAGAACTGGCTATTTTGTATGTGCTGAAGAACTGGATTACATCAGGGACAAAAACTGTCATCCAGCATAAGAACATTCTCCAAGCAAACAACAGAAGTTTCATTTGGTTCAGCTTAAACAAACATAAAACAGTGTAAAACAGACATTTCAAATAAACCCACTAAAAATCTCCACCCCTCACACCCAAACTCTCCAATAAATAAAAGCAAAGGTCAGCACCCTAGTCAAGGTACGAAGTCCTCCCCATAATGGAAAAAAACTGAAGTCAATTATTACTGCTATGATTTAGCAAAATAATATAAATTGTCTTCTGTTTAGTGGACTACACAGCTGGTGAAACACAAAACAGTAAAAAAACAAATATCTAGTGTTTTTAGCAGCTCATATCTACTTCTTCATGAGCTCTAGATGCAACAGCTGGTAGCACCACTCAGCTAAATATGAAACTCATTAAACAGCATAAGAAGAAACACCTTGAAAACTGCTAAGTGTTGAGCCTTCAACAAAACATTTTGTGTGGAGAGAAGTACTCTGAGGCCTCTCTTGATGCTGTGCCATTATAAATGAGGTACTGAAATTACGAACATGATGAAGGCAAAGGATGGATTAATTAGACTAGATACCAATTCCTATATACTACAAAAAAAAAAAAAACTATCTTGAAATTATACGATATTATGTACATTCAAGATAAGACTTCACAAAGAACTGGATGTACACCACATATATACAAGTCAGAAGTAAACTGAATCCCAAGCTACATGTACAACAGACATGACTTTTAATAGAAAGTCTCTTTTCTTCAGTACAGCATATAGACAAAGCTGTCCAGTCAGTCCTGCAGACAACTGAAATAGTTTGCCTTCAGATACAGCAACTAAGTAGCCAGCAGCAAGAACGCTGGCTCTACTCTACATGGCAGGTGCAGGTGTTTTTTCTGTACCCCCGATCTACATCAGAAAAAAAGCCATGTGATCATATAGCCTAATCAGCTCTTTGCTAATGCTATTCACCTGCATCATATTTTCATAGGCAGAAATGCAAAAAATCCCTCTTCTGGTGTGTTTACAGCTTGAGTTTAAGCTAGTCCTTTCTCCATTTTTGAAGAGAAAACCTGAACAACTGTGTGGCCAGTCATTCATCCCCATGCCTGAGTTTTGCAGTAATGCAGTACAAGCTTGCCATCACTTCCAAAACACTGCAAGAAAAGCAAAAAACAAGAAATGTTACAATTATTAATGGGCTATCATATACAAGAAGCAAAACAAAAAGTCTTCCTTATCAGATAAACACAGATAATAGTGTTAGGAGAAAACTTCTCATTACAATGAGAGGCATTAAAACACACTGCACATACAGGAATGCATTTCCAGAGAGTACATGAAGTCACATCTCTTTGGATCCCATTCACACATATCTCTGAGTATCAAGTACTCTACATTAAATGCAAGCTATTACTGCTAGAGGCAGTGAGAGATTTCAAGTGCCCAAGGTGTGCTGACAAATCCTCCTAAATACATTTGGAAAGGATATTTAGGATGAAAGTTACCTCATAAAGGGTCCCCACTTCTTGGTCTGGAGATGGAGCAAAAGACTGGTTTACATATATGAACTGCAAGAAAATGAGAAAGGAAGAGATGGAGATCACACAAGGATCCCACTGGGAACACAGAAGAATCATCGTGCAGTTAAAAGTTCTCATCTTTATCTTTAATCTTTAAGCATGTAACAGAATATGACCAGTTACTATCTTCAGCATGGATGAGCAACAGGACCATGAGGAGTCCCCTCTGTCTGGCCAGCCAGACCAAGCCAAAGTCCGCATGATGACTTCCTTTTCCTGCAAGCAGACCCATTACTCTCCCATATAGCTGCACAGAGTGGTTTAGCTCTTGGTCTTATTTCAACTCAAACCACTCATGCTATTCCATATCTGCTCAAATAGAACGGCCATGACAGAAATTAGGAACATCTTGTTCTATTTTCAAGTAACCTTTCTCACTTCCTGTTCCAAAAAATACATTTATAGGAGCTAATTCTCAATCACAAAGAGGGCATTAGGATCATGTTAGGCAGCAGTGAGCACCAGAGTATCATATGCTATTTCCGAATAAAAGACATAAAATTCCTAGGGCTTTGTTCTTCAAGTATAGCCTTAGGCTTCAGCCACACAGGAAGGCTACAGGCTCCTGTGTTTTTTTGTCCTGAGATAATGAGATAATAGTCACTGAATCAAACTATCAAGAATGACCTTATCCTTCTTTCAGATATTAAACCACAGAAAAGCAGATACCTCAAGATTTCCAGGTGACTCAGAAGGCCAGTGCATTTATGCCTATATACTTAATAAGACCCTCCAAACCAAAAACGGAATGAATTCAGCTACATTTCACTTGACAACTTTAATGAGTCTAGCTTTAACTGCCTATCTTAAATAAAAACTTTGGACTCTAGTGAGAGGTCAGTGCAGAGCAACAAAATCAGTGCAACTGTATTTCCAGGTCTTCTAGTGTTATCATGAGGCCACTTTGGCAAGTCACTTCCACAGGAAGAAATCCATAAGTAACATTGGCAATCTGCTGACCAAGGACAAACACTTCCCAACTCCCCATTTTAAAATCAAAATCAGTCCCATGACAGTAGCTAAAATGTTTTAAATGTGAGATCTCAAGCAAACAGACACTTGGATTCAGAAAGCTGATCCCAAAAACTATGGACTACTTCTCAAATACTCAGTCACAATACCCAGTTCCACGGTGCCTAGCAATGTTTCCCTGTGACACATGGCTGCCCAGCATGCACACAGCTCTGCCTGGCAGATACCAAGAAATACAGACACTACAAAAAGCCCAAAGGTCAGTGCCGAGCACATCCACACTGTGCTGCTACAGCTCGCTCAATATTACATCCTGTTCAAAAACACCTTAAAAGCACTGGGTGGGGGATCTTTCAAAAATTGGGAGCAACATTTAGCAAAGGCCACCTGGTTAGTTAACAGCCGAGGTTCCACCAATCAAGCAGGTCCTGCCCAGTCTGAGTCACTGAATATAGCAGATGGAGATAAAAGTCCCAGTGGCACATGTCAGAGGTTTGTTAGGGAAATCAGTGTGGATCAATTCTGCCTCAAGTACAGGCAAACCCATTTGTGGGATTGTCTTTGCTCAGGGACCAGGTTGTACATCACGGATTTCACAGAGATGGAGCAATACGATGTGTACCTCAGGGAGATCTGATTGTGGGGTGAGACACATGGCAAATATCACTGTTTGCTGGATGTTACTGCCAGTGTCTGTACATGAAAACACACAGACATGAGACAGAAGGAAACGTGTGTCAAAGGTCTGAGCAAGTGACATAGAAGGAAATGTGTGTCAAAAGTTTGAGTAAGTGAGATGGAAGGAAATGTGTATGAGTAAGAGAAAGATGGAAGTTTTTACTTGAAGTTTTTACATGCTGTTGATGATATGGAGATAAGGGGTGTAATGTCATGGGGTGACATTATGATGCTTGTATCCCCAATCATGTGTTCTGTTTTACGTTTGATATTATGTTCTTTGCTTTCAGAACTGACTCTGAAAGTGAAGGTTTCTTTTGTCTTGTTATTAGCCAGTTCACCTGCCCCCATGGTCTGTTGTCTAGAAGAGGCTTGTGCTGGCTTGTGCTTTGCTTTACTTACTTGCTTCTGCTTTTGCCTTTGCTTTTTAGTTAATTTAGCTAAGCAGTCCAATTCTTTCCCTGGACTGTTTTTTTCCTTTCCTTTTCCTGACTATCACTCCAAACTGCTCCGGTCTGGTACCTGGGAAACACTGAGGAGCACCGAGAGCCTGCGCTCTGTGATCTGCAGCAGCCATTCCCAGTGCCAGAGCAATCCCCAGCGCCCAGACCCGGGCGACCACTCCCAGGAAAGACTTTCTAGATTTGTCATCTCTTCAGAGTAGTGAAAGAGTTTTGTTGTCATCTAGTGTTGTTATGTTTTTTTGATGCTGGGGAGTGCTTTGTTTGTTAAATAAACAGGTTCTTTTCCACTTCTCTCCGAGAAAATTCTTCCCGAACCAAGTAGGTGGGGAGGGGCCGTGGGGGTTTGTTTTCTGGGGGCTCCTTCCAGAGGTTTTTCTCTCAAATTTTCCCTAAACTAGGACAAGGGTCTACTTGGAGTATTTCTCTCGGTGTTCCTACTACAAGTTTCCTACAGGCAGCTGTAGCCTAGACTCCAACAGGGTTTGATAGCATGGGCCCAGCGCGCTCAGCCCCCACCCGGTGCCCGCACGTACCAGCTGTTCGGAGGCCATCAGCTTGAGGAACTTCTTGATGAACTCCACGAGGCCCTGGATGGTCCGGGTCCGCTCCACCGCCCACTTCTTGGTCCTCATGATGGGGGTGTCGCCCACGGCCTTCAGCAACACATCAACTGCGGGGAGTTGCGCCCCGTCACAGCGGGCCCGGCCCCGCCGCTCACAGCCCGCGCCCCCCGCACGCCGCCCCTGGGCCACCACGGCTGCCCGCCACCGCACCCGCCACCGCGCCCCCCGCCCGGCGGACGCCTCCCGCCCCATTACTTTTCTTTCTCCCGTCGCCCGCGGGCTCCTCAGTGCCCGGCGACCCGGCCGGGGGCGGGCCCGGTTCAGCGGGCCCCGCCGGAGCACCGCCTTCCTGTGCCTCCTCCGCGCCGTCGCTGCGGCCCCCGCCGTGCGGCGCGGCGGGAGGCGGCAGCTCCCCGGGCTCCGCCATGGCACGGCTGCTGCGCGGGCGGCGGGAAGTGACGCCGCGCGAAGAGCGGCCTCCGCTCAACGAGGCGGTTTGTCCCTCGTGGGACGCCGGACTTCCCGTCACGTGGCACGCCAGTAGCGTCACGTGTGGCGCGAGCCGTCCCGCCGGCAGTGGTCGCGCCCTGCCGGTCACGTGGTGCGCGCGCCCCGCCGGCACCAGCCCGAGAGCGGGAGCGGGCGGGAGAGAGGAGGGACGGCCGGGAGCGGGACACAGCGCGGTTTGTCCGGCCCCCGCCGCCGGCCCCCGCCGCCCCCCCACCATGATCAAAGCCATCCTCATCTTCAACAACCACGGCAAGCCGCGGCTCTCCAAGTTCTACCAGCGCTATGTACGGTGGGCCGGGGCTCGGCGGGGCGGGCGGTGGCCGGGCCGGGTCGGGGCCGGGCGGGGACCGTGCTATGGCCGGGCGGGGACCGTGCCATGGCCGGGCCGGGGCCGGGCGGGGACCGTGCTATGGCCGGGCGGGGACCGTGCCATGGCTGGGCCGGGGCCGGGCGGGGACCGTGCCATGGCCGGGCGGGGACCGTGCCATGGCTGGGCCGGGGCCGGGCGGGGGCCGGGCGTGGGCCGGGCGGCGGGGCTGTACGCGAGGCCCCCCGGCCCGGCGCAGCCGGCAGGGCCGGGCCCAGGGCAGCGCCGTGGGGAAGGGACGGTGTTGAGAGCGCATACATGAGGAGTTGCCTTTTAGGAGCTGCCGAGGTGAAGCGAAGAGGCAGGGAGCGAGTCTTGTCCGGCGGCGGGCTCGGCTCGCCGAGCTCCCGTGTGAAGCGTCGCTCTAAGCTCCGCTGTCTGGCGCGGTGCTGCGTGCCTCTGTTACGGCAGGGCTGACAGAGCAGGGGAGATGGGCTCTTAAACACAGCCTTTTCTTTCGGAAAGTCTCAGTGTGCTGTGAAATTGCAGTTGACGTGAACAACGTAACGAACTAGAAAAGAGCATTCAGTTACGTGGTAGAAGGCAGGCAGCTCTGAAAATGCAGCACAAACGCTCCATCTGAATGGAAAAAGGTGCAGTGCAAACTCGTGATTTAGTTGAAGGATAAGAGATTTTAATATAATGTTTTGAGCGTACTGTATTTCCTAGCAAATATGCTTGGGCATTAAAATACGAGAAAACAGTTGGTATTTCTTAAGGTCAACAACTCGTCTTCTAGCAGTGCAGTTACTTGGATTTGTGGCCGCTTTCTTGCAGTCCTGGTTATTAGAGAACTCATAGTTCATCGGAAGGGATGTATCTTACTTGTGCACCTCAGAGCAGAAATGGTGACTGTGACACTTCAGTTTGCGCGGTCAGGTTCTGAATTAAAGGAATGTTAACTGCTACAGGTCCTTCTTATGTATGACTGAAGTAGAAAGGAAAGGAGATGAACAAATGGCCAGAGGATACCAGATTATTCTTGTAAAGCCATTCTGATCTACTAGTTTCATAACTGGTCCTTAGACAAATTCTTAGTGCTTAAAGTAGGGTAATAATCTGTTTGTATAAACAAAATGCTTTGAAGTTTAGAAAATGTGAATAGCAAATGAAGAAACTTTCTGGTGTACAAAAGCAGGTGCAATCGTATAGATTGTATTTTTTTGTGTGATTTCAATAATGTAAATTTGTTTGTGGACCTTTTAAAGCTTATGCATTCTTTAGTGTCAATTGAACTGGTACTGCAGGCAAATCAGCTTTTTTCTGTGAGGGGATGCATCTCATGCTTTCTAGAGAGATTAATTTGGTCAGATCCATGAAAGAGGTACTTCTTTCATAATACTAAATCTTATATGAGAACAGAAACTGAATAAAATGAAGTTAATAATATTTTGCAGTTATTAGAAAAATAATTTATAACAATTAAAATATATGTCTTCATTTCATCTTTCAGAATATAGACCCATGGCCATAATTTCAAAGTTCAAAATTAAGTTTCTAAAGAGCCAGAAGAATTCTGTCTCAGAAGTGATGTTTCTGATCTGCTAAGAGTTAAGATCATGGCTTAGGAGAACCTGTTGCTCACAGTGCCCTTGTATTTCAGGAAATTTTTGGAAGTATTAAATATTGTGGGGTCTGTAGCTTCCCTGCTCTCTTCAAGCTTTGGAGACTTCATTTTATTCTCTGTTTATGGATAAAAGTAGTTTCAAAGCATGCCTGTAACTGTTCAGGCTACATTGAAGATACAAAAAAAAATCAAACTACTTGAGAGCACTTCTGGTTTACTTGAAAAAACTATTTTTAGACTAATTTTTACCTAAGTTCCCAGTTTTCCACATTTCTCAGTAATACCTTCTTGTACAACTTGTAAATAATGGCTTTTTGTGTTGAAATGACACAAACAATCCATGTCGTGTTAACTGGCAGCTTTAAGGCTTCAGAACTAGATTGAGAGTGCTGATACACTTTGTGTTTTACAGTCTTTTGTGCTGTTTTCATTGTCAATCCTTTTTAACAAAGTGTATTTGCTTTCACAGAGTGAAGATACACAGCAACAAATTATCAGAGAAACTTTCCATTTAGTATCAAAACGTGATGAAAATGTCTGTAATTTTCTAGAAGGAGGACTGTAAGTATCAAGTTGAAATAAATGCCAAATACTGGCTTTCAGGTATTTTTATTTCTGATTGCACTACAGCTTTTCATGTTGTAATGTAACTGTTATGTAACTTGAGATTTGTTGATACATGAGCAATTATATAATTTTGCAGCATATGTACATATTCTTTACTAACTGAAGCGTAGCTATGTGTACCAAATGTCTTGGGCAATATTTTTTTTTTCCTAGTGCTATAATGGCCACAGTGCCATACCTAGTGTCATGGTTGTTTCAGATACAAAGATGAGGAAGGAACGGGCAGATACTCTTTCACTAGAATCAAGCTAAAGATTTCTGGTCACATTTTAAGAGGCACTGGCATTTGCCATACCCAGTGACTCACAGAATCACACAATATTCTGAAGGTACCCACAAGGTGTCTGAAGTGAATGACCTGTACAGGAATCCACAGCCAGCCTTGCTGGTTTTAGCACCATGCTCTGACCAAATGAGCTAAATCTCCAGAAAATTAAATACTTCGGAACTGTTCTTTGGCTTGAGATAAAATTTGAGAAGACAGACTTTGATAGTAGGATTCTGCAGCCTTTTTATCAGGATTTGGGGTTGCTTTATGAATTAGGAAGAAAAAAAAATATTTTTAAATGTGCTAACTAGTATAGTTTCAACCAAGGTATTTTATTAATAAAGGAAAAGCAAGGTAGGAGGAAAGTGAGGCTTATGTATTCTGTCTCTGTAAAATACAAAAAAAAATCTCTTTTGAATCATCTTCATTGTTTTTGAAAGTCAGCTTGCTTCAGCTGAAGAAATTCTGAAATTGAGATGTGTTTTATTTTTAAGTATTTATTAGCCATTGAGAGGAAATCGATAAAAAGCCATCTTCTAGAAGAAGGGATCAGGACTGATGGAATAAATTCATGATCTCCAGTCTGTGACAGATAGTGTCATAGTCTGTTAAATATTGGATTTATGGGAATTTCTGGTTACTGAATGTTGGTCTGCTAACACCTGGATTTTCTGTGTTCAGAATCAATTAAATGCTTAGCTGTACCATATCAGCTAGGATGTCTTTTTTCTTGCTCAAAATGATTCCTGATTTTTTTATATACTGTTCTTAAAATTTAAATTATTCTTTTTCAACTACTCAACTGGTGATTCTATCATCAGGTTCTTGGAGATGATCTCAAGTTGGAAACATTCTGGCTTGAATTCTGTAAGTGAAAGGAAGAAGACATTTGGAGCTTTTTAAAAATCACAGCTGCTTGACAAGAATAAACTGAGACAGAGAACAGAATTCTGGCTTTCCTCCTACTGCTCAATTACAGGGTTACCATTTCAATATTTTTTTCTCTTTTTTCCTTTCAGGACAGGGTTCACTTTATAGTTTGCAGTTTACCCAAAGGCCTCAATAGTTTATGTGTAGAACTGTGTGTATTTCAAGTATGAAGTATTTGAAAGAATGGGTCAGTAGATGACAAAAGAAGGAACTTCAATTGCTAGGTCTTTCACTGTCCTATTTGTTTGTAACAGTGTTGTCTAATACATAAATGTAATTCCTGCTCTTCAGAAACAAAGGGTTCTCCTTCTCTACCCCCCTCCCTGCTCTCTGCCAAGCATTAATGCAGCACAATGTGCTTAAACAAAAGTGAGCTAAAGGATTTTTGTTTTTTAAATCTGTGTGTTCTCTCCTTGTGATAATGACAGAAACTAAAGGGATGAGTTACATTGCACCAAATGGGTGATTCAGTTCTGGTACAGAATTAAGGAAAAATCACGATAGTCATGGCCATGTAGGTTCAGCCTAAAAAATACTTTTGTCTCTCTACGAGTGGATCTCTTACAGCTCAGAGCAAATGTCAGTGATCTGATGTAGATGTACACTGTTTTACGTGCCTTTTTTCGTAAGGCCATAGCAGAAGACTGGAAGAACATGCCTCTTTAGACCTCATTCGGTGCCATGATGATTAGTGAGTGCATAAAAATCTGATTGCTTCTGTGACTGTAACATTGCATCAAAATCTGATTGCTTCTGTAACATTGCATCAAGTATGATCCCACTTCTCAAGATGTCAAATGTTTCGTAGAATAAGTGTTACATGTTCTTGGTTATTAAATGGATCATAAACCAATTTAAGGCTTTTTTTTTTTTTTTTTGTAATCCAAATGCCAGTCTTCATTACATTTTTTTTTCCTCTTGATGCTCTTTTGAGAAGGTAAGGGAAGGATTCATAGGCATACACTGTTAATCTGTAAAGCAGATTAATCTCTGTGCAGTGCTTGCCTGCAGTGTGGAATGGAGGTACATTTAATGCCTGCTTTTATGTGATCTGTTTGAATTGATTTTCTTAAAGGTGCACAAGTTGATGTCATTTTTATCCATAGAGATAACAGTAACTGCTTGTGTGGTAAATGTAAATTGGTCTGTCTTGTTACTTAGTCTTCTACTGGAAGTACATTGCAAAACAAATTTGCAATGTAGTTGG